TCGAAGAGCGATCTACTCCATGTTTTGAAGCAAGAGTGGGCAAAAATCCCACAATCTGAAATTGACGAGATGATTCTCACGATTCCCCAACAGATCAACGAACTCCATAAAGCAAAAGGAAGATCTACTAGATATTAATTGAATAATAAATATATCAATTCTTGTAAATATGACAGAAAATTTTCATTTTTTTCTGAAAAGGTGGTGTCTATTTACTTGTGACCACACTGTGTATATTGGTTGTCCATTTCTTTAATGCTAACTTAATATTTTTATTTTTTATTCTGAACAGTGATCTCATTTCATTTGGAATATTATTATATAAATTTGGTGCTGGATACAAATAACTTTTTCTAAATATTTCCTTGTTTACTTTAGTAAGTTTTAAGTTCCCACATACTTCAGCTCTTGTTCCGTATATTGATTTTATTTTTTCCCAATTTTGAATATCTTTACTAAATCTATATAGTGTTTTATAAATATATACTTTGTGCAATGGTAGTGTATTTAAATTTTGAAAATGTAATTTAGTATGGTCATATTTTGATAATGATTATATGCATCTTACAATATTTTTTTTGTAACTATTATAACTCTTAAGTTTGTAAGATAGGTATCTCCCCAACATGTGATACCATATTTTATAATTGAATCAAACCAAGCATAATTAATATTTTTCATTTCATTCTTAGATAAATATATTTTTATATAGTAAAATCTTACTACTGATATCTTTAATCTTTTTGTCCATTATTTTTATGTGTTCTTTCCAATTTAATCTATGATTTAATATTGCTGCAAGATTCTCGACACTTTCTGACTTTTGTATAATTGAATTATTATTTATATCCTTTTTGATAGATAAATGTTAGCAAATACAATTCTCATAAATTATTGGCTTGTTTAAAATTATTTGTCCACATTTTTTTAGAGAAAATCTCATGTAGACTGTTTTATTTACATTTAAGAATAATTAATTTTCATTAAACCACCTCCTTATTTAATTCAAATCATTAACTTTTTTAATGAGTTCATTATCAGAATTTCTATTATAAATTAGTACCGAGTCATCTGAAAAACTTATTAAACCTATTTTCACAGAAGTCATTTAAATAAATTAAAAATATTAATGATCCTAATACTGATCCCTAAGTCATTCCAGTGGTTAAATTCATTTCATCACTTATCACATTATTTATTTTAACTACTTGTTTTGTATTTGATATATGATTTAAACCAATTTAAAACAGTACCTCTTATTCCAATTTTATAAAGTTTTTTTTTTTTATATATTTTTTTAGTAAAAGATTTTGTGAGATTGTGTCAAAAACTTTTGATATATCTAGAAAAAGAGTATATGTTGTTTTGTCATCATTAATCAATTGATTTAATTTATTAACCACTGTAATAAGTGCATCTTCTGTATTCATATCTTCACGATATCCAAATTGACAATTTAAAGGAAAAATGTATTGAATCTAAAAATTTTATTATTCTTTTTTTAACAATCTTCTCAAGAATCTTTGATATAACTGATAATAAAGCAATTGGTCTGAAACTGTTTAAATCATCTTTATTTCCTCCTTTTGATTTTGGTATAATGATGGCAGTTTTTAAAATATCTGGGAAAACTTTTCCATTAACTTATTGACTAAATCTTTTATTACTGGTTTCAGTTTTTCAATATTATTTTTGATTAATTTCTGCTGTAACTTTATCTTTTATTGCAGCTTTTCTATTTTTGAAAGATTTTATACTTTTTCTTTTTCATATTCATCAGTTGGTATAAGATACATTGAATTAGCAAATATATTAATTTTATACCTTGTTACATCTAACTGGTCTGTATTGAAACAGTTACAACAATTTTTTACTTAAGTTCCTTTGCAATATTTACAAAAAATTCATTAAATGACGTTACATATAATATGGGTTGTTCAGAAAACGTAAGTTTATTCTTTACTGTAATGCTTTCAAATATTTCAATGCATTGTGAGTGTTTCCCTGTAATCTCATCTATTATTTCCTATTGTTTTTTAATATTAGCTTTACTGTCGGTTATTTTTTGTCTATAATATATTATTTTGGTTTGTTTTATTAACCTACTTAAATAATTTCTATAATTTTCAAACTCATCCAATTCATTACAGGTTGGTAATTTGTATTTTATGTTTTTATGCATTTTATTTCTATGTTGAATAGATTGTAATAATCCATTTGTCATCCATGGTTTTAACTTTTTTTTTCTCCATTAATTTCACATACCTCATAAATAATTAAATTTTTTATCTAATTTTGTAATGAATTTTTTATATGCATCTTGTACATTAAACTTTTGATGGATATTACTAAACTTAATTTGATTTATTTTTGTAAGTTATTTTTAATTCTTCATTATTATACTTAGCTGTGCACATAGTTTTATTCAATAAATAAATTTTTAGAGCTGTAGTAAAGTGGTCTGTAATCCTAGTTTTTAAGACTGCTGTTTGTATAGAATCTATTTTATCTGTTCTAATATAAGTATGATCGAGACTGTTCTCTAGTAGTAGTTTGAATATAAGGATAAAAGACAAAAACAGTCAACATATTTTTATATTCTTTTATATCATTCTCTTCAGATTTAATATTTATATTTGTTTCCCCTTAATGTACACATTTTTCATTTTATTTTCACTTAAAATTTTTTTAGTTGTTTAATTTAATGTAATCTTGTATATTATATTGATGAAATCTATAAATTGCTATAACATTTAATTTGGAATTTTGATATGTACATTGTATGTTTACTACTTTTAGCTGTATTAAATTCAACAGTTTCTTCTTGTGCATTTATTTCATTGCTTAAACATACTAAAGTACATCCAGATTTATTATAATCTCTAACTTTATGATATTTTTTATACCCCTTTTTATCTTGTAAATTTAACTCTTCATTTTTGGCCCAGATTTCTGTAAGCATTATGATATGTATTTATTTATTATTAATAAATTTCTTACTTAGACTATGTATATTCATTTGTATTTCTTTAATCATTAATTAACAAAGAAATTATTCCTATACGAATTATCAATTTATCAATTCCTGAATTACCATTTAAAATAATATTGGAGATATTCTTTTTTTTTAACACCATTTTATAATTTAGTTAAATCCTGCTCACTTTTAATTCTTATTACCTTTTCATTTTCTGATTGTTTTATTAGAATTTTTCATCCTTAAATCAAAATTTACTTATAATTTTTATTTCAGACAATATGTTTATTTATAGAAAAATTAGATTCTGTATCTTGTTAATATCTATCAGAAAATTTTAAAAGTTTTGGGCTCTGTACTTGTATTGATGTTATTGGGATATTTTTAGTACCTTTAGTGTTTAATATATATTCCTTGAACATCTTGCTCTGAAACGTGATAAATTTTAAATGGTTTAAAAGATAATATTGGACCATGGTTATTTGTTTTTATTATTTGCTTTAGTGACATTTTAGTGTTGTTAAACCAGTAACAGTTTTATTCATTTCGTTTTTTCATTGCTATACTTTAATGACTTTCATGAATTATTTTCCATGAAAGTCATGAAAGTGTCATCATTATACCATTGTGTAGGCTCTGCTATGTGTAGAACCAGTCAGCTGGTCATGAACCAGTTAGTCATGAAAATGTTAAATGTCCTTTACTTCTGTAAGATAAGTGAGAGTGTAGAAGCTTAACTCACCTGATTTAGTTTTGGCCTCAGTTTATGAATGAGTAAACTCTCTTTTATATGGAGAATGGATCCTTGTTAAGATCTTAAAATAATTTGAATGGATGACTACACCACAATCACTTAGGACATGCTACAATACACTTAATTTGGTATTCTTTCAAGCATGTCAGCAGTTTTCTTGTTGTAGAACCAATGTAACCTTGCTTTCAACAAAAAAGTAAATTGGTAAATATATTTGCTGTTTTAAATTGAAGAAATGCAATATTCATAATAGAAAATTCTGCAAAAATTCATAAAGTACTTACTATACAACATCGGAAATCGTCTATACAAAAATAATTTTTCCATTTATCTAATTGACTGAAAAATGTATGATTATTTGAATAAATGAAATGCTAGTAAGCTTCCAATGCATGAAACATCTAAAGTCCAGTTTATATAGCTTTACCATGTATTGATTAGTATTCTTTGTATGTTAACAAACAGTTATGCACCCTACTTTTTAGAGTATGTATGAATGTACAACTGGAATGTATTTTTAAACCTGGATGCCATTTGTAATATTTCAACAAATATATAGATCATATTTCACCACTGAAAACATCAATTATAGTTTATCAATTTATGTGTCATTGTTGCAAGCAAAGATGCATTGGTTCTATGACAAGAGAACTGCTGACACAAGCAAAATAACATACAAATTTGAGAATACCAAATAAATCAAGTCTATTGGAGCATGCTATAGGAGAATGACATAGTTGGTCATTAAAATTATTTTAAGACCTTAGCAAGAGCTAATAATAAACAAAACCAAACTATGAAAGAGGGCTTACTCATTCATAAACTGAAACCATAAATCACTTAATTAGTTCACTTGTAAAATGTCACTTGTACTAAGTTGAAAGAAAATGGTTATTTGTCTTTATTGTTATTGTTTGTGTCCTTCCTTCTTCAGCACTTGACACATAAATGTATAATGATCACTGATTTCAAAATAACATGTAAAACTGCAAGAAAGTATCTCAAAACACACCTCAAATGAACAACATTTCTCTTAGTGTTGTTCAAGCCCCTTTAAGCAATGAGTTTCAAAGTACGAAAGTAATTTTAAAACTATATCATTTTGAAGCCAGCCATTGTTTTCATTCATTTAGAGTTCTAATAATAAAACAAATATGTATAATTTTAAAATCTTAATAAAATTATTTTCTGCATTCTTACTACTGTGTAATGCAAAGTTAGTCACTGGTATTTATAATTTAAAATGAATTGTTTTATAATGTTTTTGTAATAATAATAATGATAAGGGTTTTTAAGTTTGTTTCATTCATAGAAATATCCTCAGTTTCAAATCACTATATAAAAAGTCTGTTTCATTTGGTTTTACAGTATAAACAGTCTATAATATTGACTTTTCTGCTTATAGGAAGTCCATTTAAGTTCTATGTTGATACAGTCAGCAGTGGTTATGTGACAGCTCATGGTACTGGTCTAACCCGTGGTATTGCTAGTGAACCATGTAACTTCACCATCTATACTAAAGGTGCAGGAGCAGGTATGTGATAAGTTTAATGTTATTATCCTCCTTGCTACTAGTAGTTACCAAGAGTTGTTGTTTATTTGTGCTTCCTTTGACACTTTGTATTGTAAGCTTCTGTGGACTGTTTCGAGTTATTTCTGAATGTCAAGAGTTACAGCATGTCATTTAATAATACTGCTTATATTACATCAGAATCACCAAAACCATAATATTGAACTGCTTTTTGAAGCAGTCCAGTTAGATAGTAGTTGGGAATAATATGGAATGACAAAGTTAAACCTTAAAACAGGAACAGCTTGTAGTTTATGCATACTGTAAGGCATAATAAAGTACTCCACTGTGCATAATAATATATATATAAGAGGAGTGATCTTCTTGAGTTTAATAATATATAAAAAATATTTAAAGGACCACCAGGATTGAAATACTGTATTTTTTTTAATAGCTGGTTGGAAGCGTTTTCACATCTTACACGGCTCTTCAGGCAACCTAATTGAATATAATACATAATACTTTTTAACAAAATCAAAATGCTTATACAATAAACACATTCCAGTAAAAATATTTTAGCAAAATACTTATAACCAATACTCGTAACAAATTTCAACTTTATATATTTCATAGTGACATATTGAAAAATAACAAAAAAAATAATAATATAATTTGTCAGCAAAATACAAAGAGTATCGTTTTTAAATATCTAAAAGCATTAAGGATATTCCATCTACCAAACATAGTCCAAAAGGTGCAAATGAATATGGAGATAGCTGTCATGGAAAATCAGTTAAAGGTTAAGTTTTGGGTGCTTCAACCCACAATTTACCAACACCTACTATCATTCACCATCTGCAACTAGTTGTCGGCATGGTAATTTTAAAAGTAACATCATAATCGAAATTTTGATGTTATGAACCACCCTTAATTTCTGTCCTTGTTAGACATATATTTGCTACTTAAGAAATGAAATGAGGTCTCATTTTCATTTCTTGGTGTAGGAGGCTTGGCTGTAGCTGTTGAAGGGCCATCCAAGGTGGAAATCAATTGTCATGATAACAAAGATGGCACTGTAAGTGTTTCATATGTACCAGCTGCCCCAGGAGAATACAAGGTTGCTGTGAAATTTGCTGACAAGCACATCAAAGGGAGCCCGTTTACTGCCAGAATTACAGGTAAATCTTCTATAAAATCTCTAAGTAAAATAAATATTGAGCTTGATTAGTTCAAGATGAAATAATTACTTAAATTATTCAGTTGTAGTTTAAAATGCATCAGGTAAAGGTTCAAAAATATCATTATGAACAGGTAGTTATTTCCTTCTCACTCTTAACCCACCCAAGATGCAACTTTATTAGAAACATGACTATTACAGGTGAGGGTCGTAAACGTAACCAGATTTCTGTTGGACACTCCAGTGAAGTCTCCTTAAAGGTGCAAGAAAAGGATGTGAAGAGTCTGAATGCTAGTATTGTAGCACCATCTGGACTGGAAGAACCATGCTTTGTGAAGAAACTTCCTAATGGCCATCTAGGTGAGGGATCATATTAAAGCTATTCTATACTATTGTACTTTTACTGGACAATCATTTGGCTAAAGGTAATGTTGCTTATATACTGATATGTCTTACCAAAAAAAACATTATCCTCACAGCCACAAACACCCAAGGTCTTAATATCATTAGCAAATTTAAATTTTTTTAAATGACTTTACAAAGCATCTTTTATCAGACCCTCAAAAACCTCCCCACCACTGATGTAAGATTAATAGACCTATAATTACCGGGATGATTTTTATCAAGGTAGAGATAATGTTGCTTATTTACTGACATATTTTACCACTAATGTGTTTGTGCGATTGCACATTGCTCTGCACACAGCTGTGTACACCATTATTTTGTTAATGGTCTGGCAACTAAAAGTTATCACATGTGATAACTTTACCTCCATTTCATTGTGAGGATACATTCTTTCAACTTTCTAAGATGTAGAACAATCTTTTAAATACTTTATGTACATTATGATGCCCTAATTCTAGTTATTCTGAAAACACACCATCAATCCAACAAGAAGTGTTTTCTTCTTGTATACTTACATTTATATATATATAATGTGTGTGTGTGTGTGTTTGTCAGTTTGTCTTGATTTGTGATTCTGTTCTACCAACTTAATATTTAAGATGTTTGTCTTTATGACATCAAACACTGGGCTGATATTTTAAGTGACACCTTTATTCATATAACTTAAATTATACTCTCACTCTGAAGCAGATATTTAATACAAGACATGAATAAGATCTTCAGAATAACAGCTAGATCTGTGTTAGTTCATTAATTTTTGACAATATACTTTTTATGATTTTCTACTTAGGTATATCCTTCACACCCCGAGAGTCTGGAAAACATGAGGTTAATGTGAAACGACTTGGAAAACATATCACTGGAAGTCCATTTCCTATCAACGTCCTGGAGAATGAAATTGCTGATGCATCTAATGTCCGAGTCAGTGGTACTGCTTTACAAGAAGGAACAAGTCATAAAGATAATGAAATTCTAATTGACACAAAAGAAGCAGGTTGAGTGTTGAATTTTCTCTAAACTTTTGATTATTCATTCTTACAGTGTTTATAGCTTGTTTTTAAATACTTAAATTTTAATTGATGCTGGGACCTGTATGCACCCATATACAACTTTAAGTGTCTTTCAAAGTTATTACTGATGTCAGCTTCTTAATAAATGACTCTAAATCGTACTTGGTCCTGCCCACACTAGTTCACCTTCCAACTTAACCAAATTAAACAATTACCACATCCTTATAATGTATCGTATGGTTAAATAACATTAAACATAACATTTTGTGGTACTAGGAAAAGGGTTACAAACCTAACAAGTTTAGTTCACAGTCATCCCTTATACAAAATGGCAAGAAAGTGAACAATAGAGATTTCATACATCTTGTTTATCCTGTTTTTCTGCCATAAACCATTCTTTCATATATATATATAAAGAGATAATTTTCTTATTTATGCAAAAGCTAAAATGGTTGATATGAATAAAAAATAATAATAATAATAAAAATCCAAAATAGTCAACTATTCCTATAAAAGCAAACTTTACAAGCTACCTGAAGTGACTGAATAATGTTCTTAATGTCCCTCACTCTGTATCACTTATCATTGATAATGATGGCAATTAATATATGAAACTGCAAAGGAGTATCTTGAGATATTTCTCGTAATGCCTCAAAAGAATAATACTTTCTTTCAAACTTTTGTCTTTCCTTTTAACTCGCCACAACCTTTATTCTAAAGGTAAAGTTTTTTAAATTCATGCAGGGTTCTTCTTAAAAGCTAACATGTAAACTTGATTCCACCAGTTTTCCTCTTTTGAGAGAATGTTTTCTTCAAACTTTCACCTGTAATGGGAATTTTTTTTGAACATCTTTTTCAGGTGCATTTGTCTTAACCCATAAAGGAAATGTTACTACAACTTTTATTCTAATAAGATGAATTTTCTTACAATCTCTTCTTTCTGATAGCAATTTTTGTTTAAAACCTTTGTTCTACAACAAGAACTAGTAAAGGTAATTGTTAGCTCTCTGTATGCTGTAAAACTCAAACAAAGGTAAATTGTAGGTTTATGTGTAAGTTGTTGTTTTAACTGTGCCTTTTCTGATTAAATAATAAAATATAGAAGATGTACCTGTATTAGCAATATGATTCTGAAAGTTTCTGTTTTACAGGTCTAGGAGGCCTTAGTTTCTCTGTGGAAGGGCCTAGCAAAGCTGAAATCCATTGTAAGGATAATGAAGATGGTACTTTGAAAGTCAGTTATCATCCATCTGAACCTGGTTATTACATTATTAACATAAAGTTTGCTGACCACCATGTCAAGGGTCAGTATCTTTGAAATAGTGAAAATAATAAATTTCTGAATTAAATTAGATACATGATTTATATATATATTTTTTTTTTGTAGAAAACTTGTTTTCTTACCATAATGATGTGAAAGTTTGAGATAGTGAGTTCAATATGAAAGATAACGCTTTTCTTATTTTATACATTTTTATAAAACTGTCAGTTCTACAATATATAAATTAGTATGTTGTATGTTTATTTTATTTATTTTTTTTATATATATGGAAAAACATTTTTATATTTTTCCTATATAGGAACTTTGGTACTTTAATACAAACAAAATGGAAATTTTTCTTTTTTTATATATGTAAAATTTTTCAAACATATTTTTTCAAGTGTTAAAAGAAAGAAATGGCAGTGTTTTTTTAGAAATTATCTTTATCAAGGAAATGAAGATAATTCTTGTGTGAGATATACAAGGTAATTAAAGGTTAGAATGAGCAACGACAGCCTGCGTTAAGCTGTTGGCTCTTATGAAAGATGTATAGTCTTGATGAAAACTATTGGGTTATTTTTCATAACAACAGGGTGCATAAGAGAATTGCAATGACTGATTTGTGTAAATTGTCTGTATAATATGGTAGAAATGTAATCATGAAATGTGTTTATGGGATTAGTTCAGATGTTGTAAAAAATTGGTACTAAATGAATTGTTTTTTGTTTTTTTTATGGGGTGGGGTGTCTCAAAGGTTGTTCATTTCTAAGTATGTATTAGGATTTCTGGTTTTAATGCAATGGTTGATCACTTCTAAGCCTGAAGCCTGTGTCTTTATCAATGCCAGGTTCTCTAGTGTTCATTTTATGGCTGTTTACTTCTATATTCACATCTCTGTTGATACCAAGTCTTAAAGTGTTCATATGCTAGTTGGCCACTTCCAGACCCGTGTCTTTGTTGAAACCAGGTTTTATAATGTTAGTAGAGAAGGCCTTCTTCACTTAACATGTTTTCTAGAGCATTTCATTATCTAGTAGTTTTTATTTGTCTCAGTCAGTTAAATGTCCCATTTCAAAGGCACTATCTAGTAATTTGTCCTGGTGGATTATTTATTGTTATAAGCAGTTTAATCAATTTTGTATTTTCAAGTATTATTATGCTATAGTTATTTTTGTTTATTTCAAGTACAAAACAACTGTATAATGCAATCAGTCAGACAACATGTTTTAAATTTTGTAGAAAATAGTTAGAACTTATAAATACTGAATATAAATCTTTTTTTTTTTTTTTTTTACTTTAGGGTAGCCCTTTTACAGTCAAAGTGACAGGGGAAAGTTCAAACATTCAACGAGAATACATCAAGAAGCAACGGGATGCTGTGCCTGTTGCTGATATAGGCTCAGAATGCAAGCTAACTGTTAAGTTGCCTGGTAAGGTCCACAATAACCATGAAATTAAATAAATTCTGTTGATTAAGCTGTCCACTTGTGAACTTTAAAGTATAAACTAACTAATAATTTGACTTACTTCAATATGTCAGCTTAGGTACATGTTTAATCCATAATTATTCTTCGTCAAGGTACATCTGCTTTTGACATGACAGCCAAGGTCAGTTCTCCCTCTGGTGTAACTGATGATGCCGAGATTTTAGACATGGAGGACTCCGTATATTCTGTCCACTTTAAACCTAAAGAGGTTGGTGTTCACATAGTCAGTGTTCGTTACAAGGACATTCACATCCCTGGTTCACCTTTCCAATTCACAGTTGGACCCTTACTCGACTTTGGAGCTCACAGAGTCCATGCTGGAGGTATTGGTTTGGAACGAGGCATAGCAGGAGATCCATGTAAGAGCCAAACATTTGTTTGCCATGGATGTTTTTATCAGTTGAATATAGAAGCTTGATGAAGAAGTTTAGTTTATTATTTCAAAAGAGTCGTGAAACTTCTATACGTTACAGAAAAATATTTTGTATATGAGAGTAAAATATTGTCATTTTAAATGACACATTTTATGTTATAAAATCTATGGGTTTCTTTGTGAGAAGTTGAAGTTTAACTCAATGAATCTCATGATTGTTTCCAGGTGATATAACTCTTATTCCAAAAAAAGTGTGGAATGTTGTCCAATTGTATTTATGGTCAGTATTACCTTACAAAGGCATTTGATTTTATAAAACACGCTTTATATCTCCCAGTTCTAATCTCTACATTTTGGTTGTTGTTTCAAATATTTCTTTTTATAATAATTTAACTCTCTATAAACCTTTATAGTGCTAAGTTTAACCAATATCGATTTCTCTATTTTCTAGGTGAGTTTAATGTTTGGACACGGGAAGCTGGTGCTGGAAGCCTTGCAGTCTCAGTAGAAGGCCCATCAAAGGCAGAAATTAATTTCACAGATCGAAAAGATGGATCATGTTACATATCGTACAAAGTTCAAGAGCCAGGTGAGTGACTGAAATTATTCGTATATCAAGTGCAATGTACTCTTATTAATATCTTATGGCAAGTCATTGTGGTACAGTTTGCCCCACCTGGTGATCACATCTAAAAATACAATTCTATATTTGTTAGAGTACAGAAAAATGTTTTCTATTCAGTTAGGCTCATGGATAAACTCCAAAAACATGGTATAAAAAATGTAGTCATAATGTAAGAATGTGAAATATGTTAAATGAGCAAAGAGTCTTTCTTGAAATATATGTAGTTTAGTAAATTTATAAGCAGTTGGCCTAAGCTTAAGTGATTCTAGAAGTGTTTCATAACGAAGGTTAAGCATAAGCTTGATTCCTAACTGAAAGCTTTTGCTTTTCATTACATGTAAAATCTGATCACTGTTTAGAGTTTATGCTTTTCATTAAGAGCTCATTAAGAAAACCAGTATGTTATTTATCAATAGCATATTTCCTATATTTAAGTACCTTCTTCATTAATTAAATTTTCTTCATGTACAACATTATTTTCTTTAATCTAATAGCTAATATCCTAAGAACCAAAGGTGGATAGGTTATAATATTTCAACTACCATTTGTTATCTTTATCCAGTACTTATCTTTTTCATAAAAAAAAATTCAGAAAACAATTTTTTTAATCTAGAATTTATTTCTTCCATCTGAACATACCATCTTCAAATATATTTTCACCTAACTTGTATCTTATAACTTAGAGCTTATTCTCTACATCTAAAGTGTATCTTGTCATTTAGAGCTTATTTCCCTCACCTGAAGTGTCTCTTATCATTTAGAGCTTATTCCACTCACCTGAAGTGTCTTGTATCATTTACAGCTTATTCCTCTCGCTTAATGTGTCTCTTATCATTTAGAGCTTATCTTTATCTAAAGTGTCTCTTTTATCACTTTGAGCTTATTCGTTTCCCCTTAATTACCTATTATTACCAGGTGCTTATTTTCTTCTCTAATGTGCATGTAATCATTAAGATATTATTATCTTCAACTAAGATGTTGCTTATCATTTACAGCCTTTTGACAATTTAAATGGATAGAAAATAAAAACAAATAAGTTCTAAAATTAGAATCCAGAATGGCTAATAGCATAAGTATTACAGCAGTTTACTCTTTATAAAAAATCTTGTTTACAGAACTCTAACCACGTTTTTCATTTCCCAGGTGATTATCGAGTAGGCATTAAATTCAATGATCAGCCTATCCCAGACAGTCCCTTCTCAGTTTACATCTTACCCCAGTCAGGTGATACTAAGAAGATTGAGATTGGAGAAGTTACAGAGGCTAATCTTCAGGTTAACAAACCTGTGGCTTTCACAATACAGATGAATGGGGCTAAAGGCATGCTTGATGGAAAAGTTGTTGCTCCTTCTGGCTCAGAGGATGACTGTTTTGTAGCCCCAATTGATGAAGGTGAAAAAATCTTTACTTTCAGAAACTCCTACATTTCTACCTAAAGTTGCAAAACTAAGTTTAATTATATCCAATCTCGGTATTTTGTGTTAATATTTTGCAAAGTTTTATCACTGTATTATCAAACTACGTAACTGTTTAAGTTAATCTTATTGAAGATTATACTTAGATTCAATTATTAAACCTCATAAATACTTAATTTAACCTCACTTAAGACTATACTTATATTATTCAACAATTACTTAAGTTGATCTCATTTAAGCTTGTACTTGGATAATTCATCTTTGTAATTATTTAGTTTAACCTCGCTTAAGATTATATTTATATTATTCAACAATTACTTAAGTTGATCTCACTTAAGCTTGTACTTGGATAATTCAACTTTGTAATTATTTAGTTTAACCTCACTTAAGTTTATACTTAAAAGGGGATTTTTAAAATTCGTTCTTTTTTTCTTTGTAAATCAGTATGAAGTACTCATTTTGTTAAACATAAAATTTAAAGCTTAGATTATTATTCAGGCTAATTTTATTTTTGCATTTGAAAAAAGCAAGATATTATATGGTTTGTTTAATGGTAATAAAATATTACTACTCAAAAAACAAAATATAATAACATATGAAGGAGTCTTTTTTTACTTTAAATGTACTTACAATACCTTAGAGACAATTAACTCGTATAACTGTGAAAAAGTCAAGCATGTTTTTACAAACAGACCAGTGGGCTCTAAGGTTTGTACCCAAGGAGAATGGAATTCATCAAGTCCATATTAGACACAATGAAATGCATATCCCACAAAGTCCTTTCCGCATTCGTATTGGTCAGGATGATGCTGATCCTGCTGCAGTCCATGCTGATGGAAATGGCCTGAAGGAATGTAAAACAGGTATTCCAGTATTGTGTACATTTATTTTAAACAACTTCTATAGTTCTTCATATCTAAAGATAACTATTTAAATATTTCTATAGGTAATGATACTTACATTTCTGTGGTTGATAGTTTAAATACAATGGTAACTATTGAAATGGTATTGAATTTATTTAAATATTTTCATAGTTAATAGTTTAAATATCACAGTTTTTATTTAATTATCTCTATATTTACAAATTTAAATATTATGGTAAATATTTAAATATCTCTGTAAATGGTTGTTTGAGTTTTCTGTGCAAGTATTAGACTGACTTGTTTATAATAGCATGGTTTAACAGAAAATTTGAGTGCAATCAGAATTTGAAAATTCGACGGAGTCTTAATTTGCATGAGAGATAAACAGATTTGACATTTTTAATGGTCAGTAAAATCTGTTCACAAAGACAACAACAAACAATGTGTGTACTTGTGTAGACTTGTGGATGATCACTTCTACTGGGTCAGTAAATAGATCATCAGTTTCTCTCTCAAGATGAACCTCTTCCAAACTACTTGCAATGAAAACCAAGTAGAGCTGAGAAAAATAGTTGCTTTGATTTTGGAAGAAAGCTCATATTCTTTCTCCTGCAAAGGCATCACTTCATTAATGTTGTTCTTTCACAACATTCACTAGCTGTAACTTGCAGACCATCATCCTCACAGCCAGTAAAGGTCATTGCAGTCATTGAGCCCTTTTAACATGGATATACCAGAATATATCCTTGGGGAAAATAGATATTATCTACTATAGAAAACAAAGACACAAAAGCAACTTCAGTGGTTTCTGGACCACATATTTATGTCAAAACTTCATAGAAACTAACGAAATAAAAAAAGTTTAAAGATTCCTATGTTACTAAAAGCAGGTAGAAAACATGATTTACCTGGATATTGCATATCTCTGTAGTTAAAAGTTTAAATATTATGTTAAATATTTTAATATCTCTATTCTTAATTGTTTAGCTATATCTGTAGTTATAGTTTGTTAAAAAAAAAAGAAAGTTACTATGAATTTTTTATTAAATTAACAATGACTAAAAATAGTATTGATTCTTGTAGCTTTAATTTAGATGAATGTAAATGGTAGAAACATATGAACAAATTATATAGGGCAACATTAATGTGTTTACTAAGTTGAGAGAAAATAAGAGTACTTGTGTTCTGTTTTTTTGTTTTGTTTGTAATTAAACACAAAGCTACACAATAGGCTATCTGTGCTCTGCCTACCATAGGTATCGAAACCCAGTTTCTAGCATTGTAAGTCTGCAGGCATACTGCTGTGCCACTGGGGAGCACTTGTGTTCTGACCAGAAGAATAGCATTATGACTTCTGGTCATTTTATTAAGTTACAAATCAGCGTTATTGATGTATATATCAACATAATAATACACTATTAGAAAAACTTTGATAGAAAATATATTGTTTTCATTTCCTGTAGGAACAAAGACTGATTTCATTGTTGACACCTGTAGTGCTGGTGCAGGAACTTTAGCAGTAACCATTGATGGACCATCCAAGGTCTCAATGGACTGTACTGAGGTAGAAGAAGGTTACAAAGTACGATATACTCCTTTAGTACCTGGAGATTACTACGTTATCATAAAGTATAATGATTACCACATTGTAGGGAGTCCTTTCAAAGTTCATTGCACTGGTAAGAACGTTTTCATTTCTTAATAGTTCCCACTAGTTTGAGTGATTAATATAGTTTACTTTTATTAACTACATCTTGAATTGTGACCTTTAGTCTTGTAACTAGCAGATTTTCATTTATTACATCTTGAATAGTGACCAATAGCTCAGTAACTAGTACAGTTTACTTTTATTAACCACATCTTGATTAGTGACCAATAGCTGGGTAATTAACAGGGTTTACTTTATTAACCATATCGTGAGTAATGGCCAATAGTTTAGTAGCTAGCAGATTTTAAGTTTTATTTACCATATCTGCCTTGATTACTGACCAGTGGTTTTAGTAAATGTTACTAAATATTTTCTCTTTAATTGTAGGCAGTGCTGTTGCTGATCAGGGAGAACATGAAACATCCTCAGTTGTTGTTGAAACTGTTTCTAAACAGGCTCGACAGAAAGCAGAAAATATACCTAAGTTCCACTCCAATGCTTTAAAAGTGAACAGCAAAGGCATGGGTCTGAAGAAAGCTTATTTGAATAAACAGAATACTTTCACTGTGAACTGTGGAGATGCGGGTAAGTTGTATGTGTAACTAATAATAAAAAAAACAGTTTTGTTGAGATGGAATTACAATTATTAATTTCAGCTGTTGTGGTATAAATGATAGACATATTGAGGAACCACAACATAAGGTTTTGATGTGAAACCAGCTTGAAGTGAGTACATATGTTATATATACTAGGTGTTTTGGGGTGATACTAGCTTTTAGTGAGTACATTTGTTGTATAAACTAGATATGTTGAGGTGTCATCACAACAACATATTGTTTTGGTGTGATGCCAGCTTTTAGTGAGTACATTTGTTATAAAAACTAGGTATGTTGAGGTGTCATCGCAACAACATATTGTTTTGGTGTGATGCCAGCTTTTAGTGAGTACATTTGTTGTATAAACTAGATATGTTGAGGAACAACAATGGCACCTGTTTATTCACTGAGGCTGTCCAATCCACTCAAAAAAAACAACTCAAATCAAGTATTGCTCATTTTAAACTCCCTTAAACTTATTGCATCCACCACAACTAAAGGCAACTTATTCCAAAAGCCAAACACCCTATTAAAACAAAGAGTAAAACTATCTAAGCTGAAGATGACTACTATCCTGCCAAAATTTAAATTTATGTCCCATAGTCTTACAATTCTCACCATTAAGTACGAAAATAGATAATGCATCAACACTATCAATTCCCTTGACAATTTTCAATACCTCAATAAGATTATCTGTAACTCTTCAGTTTTTCAAGGTAAAACAGTTTCAGAGATCTTGTAGAACTTTTCCTTACCAAGTATCATTCTAGTAGCCCTCCTTTGAACCCTTTTCAACAATTCATTGTCTTTCCTAAGGTGATGAGCCCAAGATGGAACAAAATACTCTAACCACTGACCTATAAAATGAAATTATAACGTCTTTAGACATACATTCAATACTTCTGTAGATACAATCTAAAATCCTATTTCATCTACCAATAACAACAACATCACATTGCATGGATAGCTTAAAAGACTGATCAACTATAACACCAATATTTGTTTCTTCCATAATTGTACTTATAATTTAAATTATGACAACCCAGGTGCATTATCTTACATTTATTGTAATTGAGAGACTTCATTTATAACAGCCCTTTGCTTTCTTCCATCTAGCCATTTTTCAATTCAATGAGACAACTTATCCCTCACACTTGGAGATAATTTTTAACAAGCCTTTTATATAGCACTTTGTCAAATACTTTCTGAAAATCCAGACGCACCAAATCAACATCATTACACTCATCAACATAAGCATTAACATCTTCAAAGAAATTCAAAAGATTAGAAAGACAAGATTTTCCCAAATGAAACCATTTTGACTATACAACAGATTTTTTTAAATGACTTTACAAAGCATATTTTATTAGGTTTTCAAAATTTTTTCCATCACCGAGCTAAGACTAATAGACTGGACAATTTTCATCATATCTTTTATAAAGAAGAATCATGTTTCCTTCTAGCAACTGTTCAGGATGAAGAATACTACTTAAATCTTTATTAATAAAATCTGAAGAAAAATTCAAGTTTAGTAACTGAGCTATCTCATAATCATCAGAAATAAGCCTGCTAATATCCTCTCTCAAACTAAAGCCCTACTCCCATCATAACATTTTGCTTAGCCTTGATGTATTTAAAAAATCCTTACTATTAATTGTTACATTTTCAGACAATTTTCTTTTCATAGTCCCTTTTCGTTTGTGTAATGTTCTACTTTAACAAACTCTCTTGATTTACTGTAATTTTCTAAGTCTCTCATTGTGCATAGCAATCAACTTAAACTTCTTGAGTTTATAATAGTTTTCTTTAATTTTATCTCTTATCCTCTTTGTGAGCTAACCTGGTCTTTTACATGTAATCATGCTTTTTCTCTATAAGGAACATGTCAATCTTTAATATCTGAAAATGCATTTAAAATAATTTCCCATGTTTGATCAGTGTTCCATTTAATTCGTAGGTGTGGATCATAGAACTATGATAAAAATAAAAAAGATTACTTGTACATTTGTAGTGTATACCAAAGTATTGCTAACCTGTTTTCTTATGAGAGACTATTGTGGTTCTTCAGCCTCTACTTTCATAATGACTCTCTAGCTACAGGAGTTTTAATGAATGTGATTTAAAATTATAGTGAATGAATGTTTTAGGGACAGGAATGAACTCTGAGTGTGCTTATCATAGGCTGACATGCTTCATACGATGATATACCATCAATTAATCTAGATTATCTTATTGCCAACTGTTCAACTCCTTTATTCACACTAAATAACTTTGAATTTGGAAAGACTTTATAAAAATGGAGTACTATGAAATAAACTCCATAAATGTACCTCTTATTAAAGACACATAGTGAGGAATTCATTATGTTGATAGTAATGCTTCCGAGAAATTCATTTTTCCAACTCATGATACACATACCAAAATATATGCCATCAAGGTATATATGTAAGTATTAATTGAGGAATCACTTTCTAATTGTATTTATCACACGTGTCAATGTGTGTTTTCAGGGTATTAAAGTTTATTGGTTGATGGGTTGCCACACACTTCTAGATCTACGGGAAGAAAAGACAAGACAATCAAGCTTGGCATGCTTGTAAATACAGTGTCTCCCTAACAGCTGAAAACAATATTGTGGATGTAAATAAAACTTGAACAGTTGATAGTGTATTGGTTCTGTTGAATTAAGGTGTTTGGAGTGCTTGCAATTAAAATGCATAAATACACCTGCTGCAATCATAATATTAAGGTATTAAAATGTATTAAGTATAAAATAAAACTGTTTATGCATTACTTTGTTTATTACTTAATACTATTTCCTCATAGTTTTATGTTTTTCATAATATTAGGTAAATTATAATGTTTCTCCCTTATCCTTTGCTAAGTTCGGTCACTGCCAATTCATAGATAATTGTTGTCACATCCCTTCAGAATTAATGTTCTTGAAATTTATAACGAAACCTTATTATTCCTGATCTCCATATGTGGTAAAACATAAACCTAATTGAGCTATGATCACTTGCACCTAGATGTTCCCCAATCCAACCCTCTAAGTCTCAAATGTTTCTCTATTAGAAGTTAATAATAAATGTGAAATAACATTGTTCCAAGTAGGTTCCCTGACAAATTGATGAAGGAAACACCTCCCAATCTGTATGCCTTAAATTAAAATATCCCATAATTATAACCTCATTAATAGCTATAATCTTAATCCCATTGTAAAGTTTCTCATTAATTTCATCACTTTCATCTGGTGATCTGTAACAGAGTCCAACTAAAAGCCTTCTCCTATATCCACTAACAGAAACCGAAATATTCAATCTCCTTGCTATTATCTTTGACATTCTAAACTTCAACAGGATGTTACTAACATTTTACATATAAAGCCACTTCCTCCCATCACTATGAAACATCCCATAGTTCTGTTTTTCAAAATAATTTCTGTTATCAGTATTGTCTACATCCAACCAAATTTCACTTATTCCCATTAAATCAAAATCCTCCGTTCCTACAAGTGTTTTATTTCGAAACTTCTAGCATTACAATTGTAACAATCTTATCTATCCTTAAAACTGTTTCTTTACTTTGTTTCTACACTATCCTTTTCTCTATATCTTATTTCTTCTGCATTAAGTTTATCCTAGTCCTAGTTAAAATCTGCCCTTATAACTGAATTAATAGCCCTGGCAAACAAGTCAGTCCCTGTCCTTTTTAAATGTAAACCATCCACTCAAAAAAGCTTCCTTTTCTCATTGAATTAATCCCACAAGTTTAATCAGCCAATCTGCTTGTCTTTACATATTAACATAGCATTCATCTGAGATGACCAACTTAAGATCTTGTCCCCAACACTTAAGTTGCAGCAGTATCACCGACAAAATTAATTTATGGCCCTTTTCTTTACATGTCTCAATCAACTTCCTATGCTTATCAGTTAATTCCTCTGCCCTACCTTTACCCTTACATACATCAGTAACCCTTATGTAGATGACAAAAATTGCATCCCTACTAGCACCCTTTACTATCTAACATGCTTTATCAGTTATGTCCTTCATCTCTGCCTATAGATAGATCTGAACAATTAGTTGGATTTAGTAATCAATTAATCATCAGTCTCCTTAATTGATTCCATCCAACTGATTGGTTGTTTTCACATACGACTAATCTTTCTATTTCAGCTTGTTTTTTTTAAAGACCTTTTCAAACTACCCAACATTTTAATATGATAGATGTCTTCAGGTGCAATAATTAAGGATTAAGCTACTTTTTGTTTAATCCTAAACTTTTGTACATAAAATATATCATATACCCGATGTAACATGAAACCTATAACAAGCTGATATGATTAATACCATTTTGTGGGTTTCTCCCTACAAATCTACATAATATAACTGTACTAAAATTAACTAATTCTTTGTTAAACAAAGAATTTTCCTTAGATTTGGTGTGGTAAGACTAGTAAAGATTCTTGTCACAGTGTGTGGAAAATAATATATAATTAAGTGAAAACAAATTTACTCTGAATTTAGTGAAAAAAAACAGTGTAATGTTTACTATTTAGCAAGTTATTCTATTAGATCAAATTCCTCCATTCCAACCAGTGTGCTAAAGTCATCTCTTTTATTTCTAATACTTCTAGCATTACGAGATTAACAGTTTTACCTATCCTTAAAACTAGTTCTTTACTTTGTTCCTACATTATCCTTTTCCCTAGATATTTCCCCAATTTCAACCATCTGAGTATCAACTGTTTTGATTACTTGAATGGTTGGAATAAACAAATATTGTAATTATCAGAAACACTAACTCTTAGTTGATTATTTTCTTGGGAATGACAGTATTATTTAGTCCAAAGAAGGTAAACATGCTTAAAGCTAATGTTATTATCTCCAGCAAACATGGCAAGAGAAAAATGCATGTAAAAATTCCTTAAAAGTATGTTTAAGATTTTTCCAATAATCAGTATTTGTATTAAAGGTTCAGTAACTCAGTTAATTTCACACTTGTTACAGCTGTTAGTAATTGTGATTTCGACGCATATAAAAGCTTTCTAATGTTTTTTTTTATTGTGCATGTTACTTCTGCTGTTTCATAATATGATCTTTGTATTACTGTAACTTTTGGAGCATTAGAAAAAATAATAAATCTATGTAATCATTTTTACTTATAGATATACACTTGTATCACGAATTTTTGTCATGTGTGTAATAGATGTATGTAATAGAGATATTGAAGATATAATGAAATTACTTGTATAAATACAATAAAAGAACAGTTTCAGTTGTGGAAAACTTGTTGTAAGTTACTTAAGCCAATTTATTTCTGCATTCCACAGGTAACAACCTTCTCTATGTAGCTTTGCATGGTCCCAAGGGTCCCTGTGAAGAAGTATATATCAAGCACTTGGGTCGGAACATGTACCAGATAAACTATGTCGTGAAGGAAAGAGGTGACTACATTCTGTTTATCAAGTATGGAGATGACCACATCCCTGGTAGTCCCTTTAAGGTGGAAAGTTCATGAGCTTTTAGAGTGCACAAACCAAGCACTGACCATCACTTCCCATTGTTTGTGCTGGCCATTTTACCCAGCCCACCTACAAAAAAAAATCATTCTTTAACCTGTCAGTCCCTGTGGCAAAAAAGACAAAATTTCTTCTAATTATGGCATCAGTCTAATTTTGGGGGAAAAAGTTAATAGAGAAAAATTTTGAATTTTGAATTAAAAAAAAAAAGAATTCAAATCACAGCATTCTGAAACAAATGGAATGCTTGTTAAAAATGTGTTATTACCATTGATGTGATTTCATGTTATTCCATTTACAGTTGTTTTCCATCCCTTAGAACCAAAACTTTCTTACTGTAAGATTTTTTAGTTTTCTCATTGCCAGTCAACAATTAAAAGAAGATTAAAATCAATAATAGTTTATTTATGGTTAGTATAACACTAATGATTCCTTTTTAGTATCTAGATTGACTAGACTTGTTTATATTTATGACCTGTGAAATATTGTTTAGGAACAGATTTTTATATGAAGATAATTTAAATTATGACATACTGTGACTGGTAATGAGTACTGATTTGTTTTGTGTTGTAAAATCTATGAATCAATATTTTGAAGAATGGACTGGCAAGAAATGAGAATACTATTATTCTTACCTTAAGAGACTTCACTTAAGCTCGAATTATAATTTAACACCTTTTCTTTTTATCATTGGGTTGTTACTATGTGGTAAATGGATTTAGTTCTTGTTGTAAATTTTGTAGTCTTGTTTTGATATTGTGTTTAAAATTAGTATTTTAAAAGATTATTTGTGTATGTGTGTTTTGCCTAGTTTTGAAAAAATGTTGCCTTCAACTTTTAATAAATATATTATTTATACTGATGCTACTTTAATCCACTTTTAGATATGTAATTATTAGCCATCAAACACCTACTAGTGGTGCCTCTATCATTTTATATGGTATAAGCTTACAATCAAGATTTTCTCACAGAAAGTAATTCAAGGGGTAAAAATCACTGAGATAATTTTGTTAAGAAATATGTCGTGAACAACACCAACGAAAATTTCTTATTACAAATACTAAAAGAAAGACAGTATAACAATGCTGAGAGAACATAGCAATTATTTATAAGATTGTCTATGAAAAACTGATGTCATATCATTCCTCTAATTTCAAATTCCTATGTGCCAACGTTTTTTCCCTCTCCTTATATAATTTTTTCAATATTTACTATAGTTTTCCTTTGGTTCAGGTTATGATGCTGTTCTATGTTTCCTTCAACATGTAATAAAACATATTTTGTCACCAAAACGTTTCTCTTTATTATTTTTTCAGTAAAACAACATTCTAATGGACATTTAATGATTAAAATGTTATTTTTAAATGTCTGAAGATTTACTGATAAGATGAGAAATTCTGTTTCCCAGCATAAATTATTTGTATAGCTTTTCTATTTAAACATCCAGCATCCATCAGGTCTTTAAAACTTCTGTTTATCCATTTGACAGAATACTCTACAAAAAATAATGTGAATTTCAACTTTTAGTTCAAGGATTATATGAATTTTTGTTTCAACTTCATGTTTTCTTTTCTTGTCAATGGCATTGCTCTGATATATATCAGACCCAGCTAACTGTGGATTGAAATTACTAAATCACTCACTAGGTTTGTATTTGTGTCTAAATATACAAGGGTTATTGAACTTTGCATGGGGCACTGATTGAGTACTTTAGATAAGAACATTGTAATAACAAAAATATGTATATCTTACTGTTATCTATTAGTTTATTATGCATTGATAAGGAAACTTAATTATACTGTCATGATTTAAAGAACAAGCAGCAACTACGGATTGCTAGTCAGTTCTCGCCTAGGATACTGCGTACAGATTTGGAGATCTCTTTAAGAAAGGATATTGACTTGCTGGAAATGGTTCAGAAGAGGGCTACTAAGAATATTCCAGGGATGGAAGAGTTATCGTAAGGGGTTAGATTAAAATCTCGAGTTATTTTTTCTTATGAAAAGATGGGTAAGAGGTGACCTTATTGGGGGAGGGGAGGTTAATACGATAAAAGCCTCTGATTATTTTATTTTAATTTGCTGTTTTCTGAAGACAAAAGAGCAGGGGGAATCAGCTTAAGATTTTGAAAAGACAGTTCCATTTAAAACAATTAGTCACTAGTAGTTGGAAGCTGACACATTACAAGAGTTTAAAAAGGTAATTGATGATTACCTGAAAATATAAAGTGAGTTTAATTGTTACAGCCTTGAAGGGTCAAATGGCTTTGTGTTGTCCATCTATTATGTACTAGTGCATAATTTACCAATTTTTGTGAAACCCAGCAATATATATATATATATCAATTATTTTTCTTGGTAACTAGGTCAGTTTTTAGGATCTTGTCCTTATCAGTAATTCTGAGCTATAAAGAAACCAAAAACATTGATCAATGCACTTAAAAGTAGGCGACTTGATTCTTGTTAGTGTTCTTTGAATGCATAATAGAAACTCTATTGTATTGTAGAGGTTGAGAGGAAAGGCAGTATTTTCCTCCAGCCAATAATGAGGGTCTGTGTGAGTCACGACCTGGATCCCCCTAGTTTAAATCAAGGGCCTAGTGTTGGACTGCGATTATAAGAATTCATGGTTTATGTTCTGTTGCCACAAAAATACGCTGTGCACTTCGGAGTCGTATGTATGCTATACGAGTGATGGCCAAATCCCACTATTTGATCAGAAAAGAGTTGATGTTTTGTTGCAGTTAGATAACTGCCTTCCCTCTAGCCCATGTGTTCAAAATTATGGATGATTATTCACAGATAGCACTTGTGTGGCTTTGCACGAAATTCGAAAGAAACTGTTTAAATGCATATAAACCATTTGACTTTTTTATTCTTCTTTTAAAAATATTGAAGAAAGAAGGATCGTATTTTGAGTAATGTATCTTTATTAAATCCTAGAATATGATAGGAAGAGACAAAAGACGAACTTAAAATGGGAAATATGCAAGTTACTATAATACATCCCTGTTAAAAATATTTTGAGATTTGTAAAATAATAATATTGGAACGCCTTTGAGAAGTCTCCCACAACTGGTAAATGTTATATTACGTCTCTGTGTTCGTTTGTTAATTTTCCGTAAAAATTATTTCCGAAGAAACTTTAGCGATGCAAGTCCTTTCTTAAATAAAACTAGTTTATTCTTTCTCAATTCAACTTTTCAGTACACTTAATTTTTACAGTCTCTTTAACTTAAACACCCGCTACAATTTACAACGATTCACGCAGTTTACTTACGGGTTGACTCTATTATCTGTCTCTATATCTCTCTGTCTGCAATTCAGTTGTTGCCGTCACTTTATTTGCCAGCTTGTATACTATAAGAGCGCAAGTCTAGCAAACGCTAGGACGTTCGACAGGTTCCTGATGATGACAAAACCTTGTCGAAACGTTGTACATTTGCTGTTATGTTAAACTTATATTAAAGTTTTTCTTCACTACCCATTCAAGCCGTTTCCAACCATTATTAGGTTCCTCGATCTTTCTAGATACGCATTACGTGTTACCAGAGTCACGTGACTTCCGCTGTCGTAACAGTTATTTGATACAAGTTGGATAGTCATATTTTATAATTTAATTTTCAGAACTAATACTTCGCACTTTCAGATTATTATTATTATTATATTGAAGATAAATGATGGTGTTTAAAATTATTTGGAGCACTGATAAATCGTCTTTTAATCAATAATTTTTACTCATTATATAACTCCCTGTCTTAGTGAGGATCAAGGAACAAGATCATTACAAAATACTAATGCTGTGAATAGTGAACCTGGTTTATTATATAACGATTCCTGGACCAGAGTTTTTCTTTAACTTTTTGAAATATGGTGTTTAAACTTCTATTTGTAGTGTTGTCACAGTTTAAGTGATTTCACTATTTTATAACCAATGTTTTTTTTGTTTTTTTTGTAACTACTAAGGGTGTACATCTCATCATAGTAGTTGATACGTATCTAGATGCTGAGGCCGCGATACGATACATATTGTTACGTCTCCGTTTGTTAATTAACTTTCCGTAACTTCGTTCCGACGAAACT